TGAGGGGCGGCGGGGGTGACTGGGGGTGAGCTGTGCCCTGGGCGCGGGCTGTGGTCTGGGAGACTATGGGGCGGCCGGAGTTCCGGGGCGCAGCCTCGGGAGTGGGGTGGGGTGGTCAGTGCTCCGGTCGCAGGTCCGCAGCTATGGGGGTGGGTGGGGAGCCCCCGATGTCCAGGCTCGGACCTGGATGGCGCGGGCCGCTCCGCCCCCAGGCTGGCCGCCTGGCACAGGCTCCTGGCCCGTTCCCGGCACAGCAGGAGAAGGGACGGGTGCTGGGGGACACCTGTCATGGAGAATTGCCACGGGCGCGGAAGGTGATGGAAGAATACGGATTCTTAAACAAAAAACAACAACAACACACACACACACACGACGAGGCCAGCGCCAAGTCTTGCTCCCCAGCCGCCGCCGCGCAGCCCGGGGCCTCTTCGCCCCCAGTCCGAGCCTCCCGTCTCCCGACGAGACTGCAGCGGCCCGCGGAGCCCCGAGCCCGAAGCCCCGGCGCGGTCGCCCTAGTCCTGGGACAGCCCAGCCCGCCGGGACCGCGAGGGGCGCCCGGGGCCCAGGGCAGGGATCGTCCTGCTCGGTCCAGCCCGGCTTTGCGTTTCCTTACAGCCACCGCCAACGGCTGGACACAGAGCGGTCATGCAACGGGGTGCGGTGGGGGGGTGGGGGGTCCCAGCGGGGTCGTAGCCCAGGCTGCCCAGGCGGCACCCGCCCCGGGGTGCTCAGAGCGCGCCCCCAGGAACACGCTCCCGCGCCCAGGCTCCGTGCCGGGCGTGGACCTGGGGCTCGGCGGACGTCGGCGCCCGCTCCCCCGCTCCCCGCTCCCCGCGGCTGCTCGGCCCGTGCGCGGCGCTCACAGGTCGGAGCCCAGCCCTGGCTAGGCTTTCTTGCGGATGTAGAAAGGGTTAATGGCAGATAAACTCCCGCCGCGCCGCGGAGGCGCCATTTGAACGCACTTCCTGGTGGCTTCACGCACGGGAGAGGGGCTCATTCAGCAGTGTTTGGGGAGAGGACTGGAGCGCCCCGAGCCCCTGGCGCCATCCCTGGCCGGCTCTGGCCACGGCGTCCTTGGGGCGGTGCGGGAGAACCGACAACAGCAGGCTGGCCTGGAGGCAGCCCTCCAGGTGGGGAAAAGAGCAGCTGATAATCGTTGTCAAGTACACGGCACCCCCTCCCTGTGGCTTCAACACTTCACACCCCCAGCGCCAGCCAGGCCCTCCCCTTCCCACCTTCGCAGTCTGCCTGCTCTGACTGCAACGGCCACGGCCTGAACCCTAGGAGGCATCTCCGGTGCTCATCCTGACACCCACACCTTCCAGGACTGTCCAAGGCAGGTGTCAGAGAGCAGCAGCTCTGATGAGCCCTGGAACCCGAGACCTGCGTGGCACACTCAGCCTGCCTTTGGGGGGGCTTCCCTGGCGTCCTGCAAACAGGCCTTCCTCCAGCATTAGGACATTTGGTAACTCTTATCCAGACCAGCAGAAATCATTAACGACAAAGCTTGGGTTACCCACGATTTCACGGGTGTTTCCGTGCCCAAGTGTGGAGTAATTGACAGTAAGATAACCGGCCCCGACACACCCCATTACACCAGACATGCACTTGGAGAAATTAAAACATTTCACTAAAATACAAAATAGGCATAATAGCAACTTATAGCTTGTAACAGCAGTCCTGGAGAAAAAAAAATACTTTTTATTTTTTTAGAACTGACAAAGCAAATAAAACGTATCTGAAACGGTTCCCGTGATTTCCGTTCTCTTTTCCAATAGATCCGGGATGAAGAAGAGTAGTTAGCGTCCTTGTTTGTAAATTGTTTTTGTATCTGTCAGGATTTTTATTACCCAAAAATGTTTTTGTGTTATGGAGCAGATATGTGTGTGTATCATTAATTAGGGAGAGTGATAAGTCTCATACAGGATTCAGTGATCCTGCCTATGAAATCTGCGCTGTTCTCTGCAACACATAAGGTGTTCACTTCCTGGTGCTGCTGAAAGAAAACCGGATTATTTCCTGGCCTGGCTTTCAGCGCCGGGGTATTCTGTTGCAGGCCCAGTGAAAGACCTTCCTTCTCTGCAGCCTGCACAGATCCATGTTTAAGGCGATGAGCTCCACCCTCTGGCTGGAGAAAGACCTGCAGGCACCAATTAGGCCAGTTGCTATAGTGACACAGCCTTGTCATTTTCTCCTATTGGGGGAGAATTGCCAGGAAAGGCAGAAGGAGGAAGCCGGTGGGGGCTGGATGGCTTTCTTTAAGATGCGTATTCTGCCTCTGTGTACATCCCGTTGAGAGCAAGGCTGGACGCTTGGCGGAGAGTTGACTTGGGGTGGGGGTGAGGACTTTGCAGGAGAAACTTGAACCCCCTGCCTTCTGGTCTGGGGGAACCTCTGTCATTGTGGCCCAGAAAGTGCTGCTTTAGATGGTCCTCCCCTTCGCATACCTGGAGCAGAGAGGTCGGCCTGGACGTGCTTTTCGGATGGGGTGGTTTGACTGTGTGCCGTAGTCTTTCCACACTGGCTTACGACAGACTGGCTATAAGAGCGGGGAGTGACGCGCTGGTGAATGCCTTGTGACACTGAGCCTTGACTTTGACACGATACGCAGTATTTAATTCACAGGTGGAGACGGATGCGTTAGCGTAGGTTGCAGTTTGGAATAGCTGGGTGGACTGACGTACCTGGCGGGTACATGGCGGGAGGGCCGTCTGTATTTTCAAGTCCTGAGGAGCCCTGTGGGGAGAGGCAGTGTGACTGTGTTTCTGACTTGGATTTTTTTTCCCGATAAATCCCATCAGAATTGAATTGTATCTTTAAGTAAAGTCTCATGTCCTCGGTGGCAACGACGAAGAAATTACAAACAACTTTCAGAATTGTTTTAATCCATTAGAATACTAACTGAGCGTAGGCTCTCTGATGTCGTATTTCCTTTATAAACACAATTTATTGCATATTTAGGAGAGATTAGAATATGCCACGTTCCTGCTGTTCAAATTTTATTTCTGGGGTTCCCAGAGAGGTGAAATTGAAAATACTGGAGGCTTAATGAAGTGATGCCATTCAGAAGTTGATTTCTCATCTTTTTTTTTTTCTCCTACTGTTTTTATTCGATGAATTTGTGGCTTGGGAACTGTGTTGTTGTGTCTTTCAACCACATAAAGACATGTTACCTCTGTTTGTGGGGCTCCTGTGAGCTTAACTCAGTGCCCAAGGGTCTGCAAGGTAGAGGTGGCTTTGCCCCTGGGAGCGTCCTCTGGGGCAGAGACCCCGAGGGAGGGATTCCGGGAGGGTCGAGCACAGTGTCCCTCTTGATGACACCTCTGGGTGACGGCAGGGCAGGCTGACTGCGTGCCACTCTGTCCTCCCCAGTTCCATCCGTTGCCCTTACCCACAGACACTGCCAGGAGGGTCCGGGCCCCTTTAGGATTCCCCGGCACCTCACTCCTGCCAGTGAGGCCACAGGGCGGTGCATCCGAAAAGCAGTCTGTTTGGAAGGCTCAGCTCAACGTGCGGCGCCCGGCTGCACTCAGCCCCTGGAATCTCTTATCAGGACTGCATAGCCATGGAATGAAATACGCAGACCAACTTTTGTAGCTTGAAGTATTTTCAGGTGACTTTTATGGGCATAATTATGGGAAGCGTTATGATAATGTGGCAAGGGAAAAAAAGCAGAGCCTCCAAATCCCCATTTCTTTATATAGCTTCACAGCTGTGCCCATTTGGAAGGGCTCATTTTTTTGCATTGAAATGTGGTACTCTGGAGTTAATGACCTCTACAGAATGCCACCTGTCACCCAGAGTGCCATGGGTGACAGCCCGAGTGGTAGGGAGGAGATTGACAAGGAGGACCCGAATCAGGATCTCCTGTGTGTTAGGGGACCAGACGCTGCAGGAAGTGCTGCGGAGAGGGGCGGGGCCCGCAGACCTGCTAGTTGCTATTTGTTTGGGACGTTGTCATGGCTGGTCTGGCAGGGCCTGCAAGGGCATGGGCTGATAGAGTCTGCAGCGTCCCTTCTAAGTGCCGCCTTACATACATGACCCCCTGAGCTGGGGCTTGGGGTGCCAGGGCTGCACCAGTGTTCTGTGGCGTCTGTGAGGACCCCTGGGGCCGGCCTGGAGGCCATGAACCCATGAACGCAGCTTGCTGGTCCAGCGCCGCTGTCTCCTCCCTCCACAGGCTTCCCAGAGCTGGGCCCGGAGCTGGTGCTGGCTGGCAGCACGAGCTGTCTGCATGGCTTTCCAGAGCCGGCCAAGCAGCTGGCAGAGGATCTGGGACTTTTCTCATCTCTCTGTCACCCCAATGAGTGGGGTGGGGGCCCCCCGAGGCTCTGTAATGTTTACTTACTTATTAAAATGGCTGGCAGTTGTCGAGTGTGGAATAACTTCTGTCTCCAACTAGGCGAGTGGGACTCCTGTGGAATCCCCGGGGCCCCTGGCTTGCAGGAGGCCCAGTTCCAGCTCCGTGTGCCAGCGCTGTCCTCGAGAATGGTGGGACGGGGCTCCTTGTGAGAGTCTCTCTGGAGAGGCCTCACTCATCTCCTAGGCTCCTGCCTCCCCGTCCCTGGCACGCCACCTGCTGTGGGGTCAGCCTCCCCATGGAGGGCCTGGCCTCCCTGGGGTCCCACCTGGGGACCCGGATCTCCTGGCACGTCTGAGGCAGGTGTGCTGGAGGGATGGCCCCAGGCACCTGTGTGGGGCCGGAGACCTGGCCTCCAGCTTAGCCATGTGAGTATTTAGGGAGTGCTGGGGACAGAGGGATGGGCGAGGTGGCAGCCGCCTGGGCTTACATCCCAGCGGGGGACTGGACAGGTCAGCACAGAGCAAAGGCAGTAAGGAGGGGCTGCCAGCCTGGGCCAGGCACACTGTTCTGGTGGATGCTATGCCCTGTCCGGTTGCAGCTGCCCCAACCTCACACCAGCAGGTGCCTCCCAAGGGTGGCAGGTGGCAGGCAGCCCAGCGTCTAAGCTGGAATACCTTTCCATGTCTGGGACCTGCCTGGCCTTCACCAGGGCCCCTGGCCCTCCTGGACACATTCACATTGTCCTCGGTGGTCCCTCTGCCTCTGGGCCGGCCCCGAGCCCCCAGCATGGCTCCCCTTAGAATGGAAACCCTGCACCAGCCCTCCCCACCCCGTCACTCACCATCACCCCTGCTCATGTCGCTCAGGCCCTCACAGATTGGGGTCTTTCCTGCCTGGCTAGGACTCTGTGTCCCTCTGTCCCGGCCCAGTGGAGTCCAGCCTGAGGCCTTGTCACAGGGCCTCCCTTCGCAGAAATGTGTGTGTGTGTGTGTGTGTGTATGTGTGTTCTTACCACAAACCCCGCTCTTTCTCACTCGCTGCCCACCAGAGCCCCTCCATAGTGTCACCGGACTCAGGAAGGGGACCGTGAGCTGGACTGGTCCTGGGGTTGCCACCCAGTGTTAGGGGCCCCCTCTTCCAGGAAGCCTCCCCAGAACACCCTGCCTCATCTCCCTCCCCAGTGTTGTCTGCCTTCATCCTGGTGCCGTCAGAGCTCACTTCCGGCCTCTGTTTTAGGCTGAGCTTCCCTGGTGCATGGCTTATTGCTCCAAGGGGATGAATGCCTGATTCTCGGAGCAGACAGACACTCACTGATCCTGGCACCCTCCACGGTGAACCGCTGCAGGGCTGGGGCTGAAGGTACAGGGGCGGGGCCTAAGGACTAGGGGTGGGGCTGAAGGCCTGGGGGCGGGGCCCAAAGGGTAGAGGTGGATCCAAATGACTGGGGGAGGGGCTAAAGGGTTGAGGGTGGGGCTGGAGAGATATCCTCTGAAAAATGGAGGGGTTGTGGGATCCCCGAGGATTAATCTGGTTCTAACACTGTCTGAGTAAAAAGGAAAAAACAGAAGAACGTGGAATCCAGTGAAATGCTCCCAATTATCAAGGATCCTTGGCAGGACCCCGCACCCTCCATGAGCCTCACCTCGGTCACGTGGCTCCCGCTCTGAAGCCCCCACCATCTCCTTGCGTGCCTTCTTTCTTCTGACACCCCTCTACTCGGTTCTCCCGCTCCGTGCTGTGGACATTTGCGCCACATCCCTCTCTGGGGCGGGGCCGTCCTGGGCACTGTGTGGGGTGTTCGGCAGCGTCCCAGGCCTCCGCCTGCCCGATTCCAGTGTGACGACCAAGGATGTCTCCAGACCTTGCTGTGTGTGCCCTGGGGGCAGAATTGCCCCCCTCCCCCACCATTGGGACCCCTGCTTTGGTCTGTGGGTCCCCAGTCAACCCACTTGCACTGGCGTTCCTGGTATGTTGAATGAAGACCCTGGCCTGGGGCTCAGTGCCAGTGCGGTGACAGCCCCGTGGCCGTTTCCGTGGCTGAATGGCTAGTGCAGGGTGAGGACAGAGTCCCAGAGACCTTCCCGCAGGGGCGCGTTGTCCTGGCCTGACCCCTCCTCTCCTCCCAGATACACTCCCCACTCTCCCAGCACCCCCAGACTGCCTGGGCTGCTGGAACAGCCGTCTGCTGGGCAAGGAAGGTGTCTGCACGTTTCCACACACCCCTGCTTCCCAGAGCTTGGAACCGGTGCCAGGTCCTCAAGTGGCTGACAGCCTCTTCTCTGTGTCTTCATTTCTCTATGTCTCACACGTAACTGCATCGCCGATGGTGATAAAGCCGCTCAGAGAAAATCAGACGTCCCCGATCTCGCGGTGACAGGGGAGCCCGTTCACCCTTCCCGTCATCCGCCCACTTGTTAATTACGCTGCCTGTGCTAGAAGTGGTTAGGTCCCAGCCGGGATTTTGGAGCGTTCATCTGGAGCCCATTGGAACAAATGTCATAAGTGCCTTTCCCTCCAGAAAGTTCTGCTGGCAGCTTCCCTTAGCCTGGATGCTGCCTTTACTTCAGTTTTTGGGTGTGCATGTGGGGGGCGGGGGAGGGGAGAGCCAGAGTCAGCCATGCACCCCCCGGGGGGACTCTGGTGCCCTTTCTGCTCTGGCCTGGTCACACCAGCTTGATCACTGGGCCCTCACTGAGCCCGAGGAGACCTCTGCAGGGAGAGTTGGCTCAGACCCACCATGTGCCAGGATGCCGCCGCCCTGGCAGGAAGCCTGGTGTTGTCTCATTGGCTCCCAGGGGCACCTTCCTCCTGGTGCCACCTCCCAGGCAGGGCCGCCTCCCGCCCACCCTGTGTGAGTCCGGACGGCAGTGTTTCCTGCACCAAATTTCCGCCCGTCTTCCTTCCTTTCTTCAGGGTGAAAACAGACCTTCCCTCCCTGGCGCTCATGTCCGTGGGGTGGGCACGGAGAAGTCCCTTGGTGCACGTGCACACAGCCTGTGCGTCCTCCCTGCAGCCCCAGACCCAGCCTGCACGTGGCTTGTCACCTTCAGACGCTGCATGTGCTCAGCCACCCTCTTGTCTGCAGTTCTGGGGACGGAGGGGGGTGTTGGGACATGACTTTCCTCACCGGGTAGTTCTCAGCCGGCAAGGCAGGATGCACCGCTGAGGCCTGCGGCTTCCTTTGCCGAAAGAGGCTGGAAATGCCTTGCCTGGAGGGGGGCTCAGATTGGGGACAGAGCTCAGGGTCCCCCCACCCTATGCCGGCTCCCCATCCTTCCGTGCCGTGTGTGTGCACATGCTACAGACATGCATCCTGTCTTCCTTTTTGGGCCCCAGTTTCCCCACCTGAAGTTGAGGTGCTCGTGGTATGAGGACAAGCACGGACCTTCGTCTC